CATGTGCGAAGTCGGAAACCTGAATTGGAAAGGTGAACCACTGAGAAAGAGGACAATAATCTTGACGACCTCCCGACAAATGCACAGATCCCTTGATTGCCGGTACTGTAGCAAAGGACATACACATCGACAGATAGCCGGTCAGGTGAAAGCAGATGGAGTTTGGATTCCCTTGTCCACCTTTGCTGCAAAGTACACTGCGGGCTTTGCGAAAGCCGTGATCCGTGTTGTACAGAGCAATCATGATGAGTCGCCTTTGCTACGTGAAGAATTGCAAATTCCCATCGAAGGTACCGAGGTGGATCAGGTTTTGGTTGGTGAAGCAATAAAGAGACGCCGCATGACGTCAAAACAATCCTTGAGTGTAGAACCTCAGATGGATGAAACGGAAACCGAGGAAAGACTTCACAAAGACTCACACACGAAACGTTTGAAGGACCTATTCGGTGAATTGGCCAAATTGGCGCCCAGGGTGGGTTCGGTCGTTGTCGGTCGTGACTCATCGAGCTTTGAGGTGGCTCAAGAGTTCTGCGATTTTCGACTAAAACACGCAGAAATATGCCGAGGTACCGAGCGTTTGAGGATTCCGAAAGCGGGGACACCTTTGGAAGGACTGGGCTTGCGGAAGACATTCTCTTTAAGTAGGAGTACTGGGGAGATTGAACAGGTAGGTGAGGTTGAAGAATGGAAAAAGCTTCCCCAGAGACAAAGGATTAGGAAAGGGATCCCTTCACGCCTCACGCTCACTCTTTTTGGCGCACGTGAAGACATGACACGAAGAGAGGTTCCTGAGGAAAAGGTCATTGAGAGTGAAATGGAGGGTGATCGCAAACGAAAACTGTTGGATGACCAGGAAAACGAAACGAAACGTGTTAAGGCAGACTCAAGTGACATGCCGATGGTTTTGGGGGGTGATCAAAAGGGTCTGGATGAACCTGTTGTGAAACCACCGGATGTAGGACACGATGAAGAGATTACAGGGAGACCCCCAAAGAATTTGGCAAGACATGGACCAGGGTTTCTAAAATTGGACACTGACAAACGGAAATGGTTGAAACAAATCCACCATAGATTGGGACATCCAGATGCAGAAACGATGGTTAGATATCTCCGATCGACGAACGCAGAGCAAGCAGTGGTGGAAGGGGCACGGGATTTCCAGTGCGACGCGTGTGTTGAAGCACGCAAAGGCTTTGACCTGCCGAAAGCTGGTGCCATTCAGACTTGGGTTTGAATCATACAATAGGTATGGACGGAGTCATTTGGACCAACTCTAGTGGGAACACATTTGTGGCGTCACACACGTGATTGATGGAGACAGGTACCTTGTTCCAAATAGCCCGACCTGGAGGAACAGATTCCACTGTGGAAGACCATTGGTTCGGGTGGGCTGGGTATCCTAAAGTATTGTATGTTGACCCCGCAAAAGGATACTTGAGTGAACATTGGTTGTCCAAGACACAAGAACTGGGGATTGATTTGAAAGTGTCCGCAAGAGATTCCCATTGGCAATTAGGTAGGGTTGAGGCACACGGAGCAATTTTGAAGGGGATGCTGACTAGAATGGATACCGAACGACCCATACAAGACACCGATACATTCAGGAAGGCCCTCATTCAAGCTTGTCACGCAAAGAACACCCTTACCAGAAAGTCCGGACACTCCCCAGAACAAGCAGTGCTAGGGAAATCAACACGTTTGCCAGGGTCGGTTATGTCAGATGATGATGCCATCAGCCATGCAAAACTGGTAGATGAAGGAAATGTGTCTTTTAAGGAGACCCTTGACCTCAGGGAAAATGCCAGGAAAGCGTTCATTTCTATGGATAACTCCAATAGCCTGCGCAGAATCATGTTACGTAGAAGCCGACCAATGAAAGCGGAATACGAGGTTGGGGACTTGGTTTTGTATTGGAGAAGAAAAGGGGGAAACATGAGAAGAGAAGAGGACGGTGGTTCGGACCAGCGCGGGTTGTGCTCGTCGAAAACAAGCGGGTAGTGTGGCTAGTCCATGCTCATAGGTTGGTTCGTGCCAGCCCACAACAGTTGCGAGCAGCCTCGATGCGGGAATGGAAGTCCATAAGGGATACCGAAGAGTTCAAGGTACCAACCCGTGAGTGGATTCGTAAGATAGGCCACCAGGATTTCTTTGATTTGGATCCCGAGGATCTTCCAGAACCAAGTGAAAATGAATATACTCCAAGCATTCCGCCTGGAGAATTCGAGGTTCGTGAGGACGACCCTATACCCGAACCTGAAGAAGAAGCCGCTGCCTCGACACGAAGAGGTTCCATGGATACTGGTGAAAATGTTCCCTTAGATGGAGTTGACATGCCAGTCCCAGATGATGGTTTCTTTGGTGACGCGGTCTATTTTCAGGATCATTTCTGCCAGAATTACCAGTGGGAAATTGATATTACTCCCTCTAGTGATGTAGACAAAGACCAATTTGTTTCGCCAGATGCCTATGTCTTGGCAGCCGTGAATGAAAGAAAGAAGAAATCAGAAGTGAGGTTGAAAGAACTGTCACAGGATGATCAGAAGCATTTGCGATTGCCAAGCACATCAAGGCGTGATTACATCATCGAACAATACGGAAAGTTGCACAAGGCAAGATTCCAGAACACGCCATAATGCGCTGCAGGTGGCTCTTTGTTTGGACAAATCCCAATGGTAGTGAAGATCCGTCTGAACTTTCGAAGGAGGGCAAGAAGGCCAAGGCAAGGTTGATCGTGATCGGGTATGAGGACCCCAATATTGAGGTGGTGAATCATGCACCAATGTTGTCAAAGGACGGACGCTCGTGATTGTGTTGCAAGGTGGCTCGCAAAGCCACCGGTGGCCGACATCTCGCCTTCCTCCACGGAAAAGGGGATGGCAGACCTGCCTCGTTCCGACTCCAGAAATGCGAGATGCTCTGGAAATGAAACGGACCAGATACAACGAGATGGAGGGGCATATGGCCGAATCGATGCACCGTATCTTTGGTTCTGTGAATTTCGGGATGAACTGGTCCGTCAGGGATGCAAACAATCACCACTTGATCCTTGTGTTTTCACATACCATTCAGGTGGTGGTTTAGAAGGTTGCTTAGGCATTCATGTGGATGACGGGATTGGTGGTGGTAGTCCCAAGTTCATGGCCATGTTGAAGAGAGTGGAGGCTCGATTTAAATTTGGGGCTTTTGAGACTGGAGAATTTACATACACCGGGATTCGGTTCAAACAGTGGGATGACTCATCAATTGAGTATGACCAGATTGACTACATTGGGAAGATTCCCCCAATCTCTTTGGGAAAGGGACGACGTGACGATCCGGAAGCCCTGGTGTCAGAAGAAGAGAGAACCAGTTTTAGAAGCCTCATAGGAGCACTTCAATACTCTGCTGTGCACAGCCGACCAGATTTGGCTGCTAAGATAGGGGAATTGCAGAGTGAGGTCACGCGAGCTCCTGTGAAACATTTGTTGTTGGGGAACCGTGTTCTTGCGGAGGCCAAACAAAACAGGGTTTCGTTGATGGTACTTCCGATTGCTCCACAACATGTGACCTACTGTGCATTCTCCGATGCATCCTTTTCTTGTGCCAAGCATACTACAGCCCACCAAGGAACAATCATTTTTGTGACCACACCAGAGTTGTTGAAGAATGAAAAGGCTGTTGTTGCTCCGGTAGCTTGGTACTCGAAGAAAATCCCACGAGTAGTGCGAAGTACTTTAGGAGCCGAAGCTGCAGCCTTGAGCAATTCCGCAGATCGTCTTTTGTGGTTGAGAGTGCTGTGGGCAACATTGTTAGACCCAGATTGCAATTGGAAGGAACCGGAGAAGTGGTTGACAGAGAGGAATCCTGGTGCTCTAGTGACTGACTGTAAATCAGCCTTTGATCTTTTGACACGTACAGCAATTCCACACTGCTCTGAACATCGAACGACGATTGAGTGCTTACTCATAAGAGAGAGGCTCCGGAACAACGCTGTGGTACGATGGGTCAGTTGCCAGGCCATGTTAGCAGACTGTCTCACGAAAACAATGGACAGTAGTGTTCTGAGAGAGTGTCTTCGAACAGGACATTACGCGTTGAGAGACGAGACATTTCTGTTGAAGGAAAGACTTAGTGCCAGGGAAAGACTCAAGTGGATGAAACAACACCGACCTGAAAATGATCCATCAAAAGATGATGTAGCCATGACAATGAATGAAGACGGCAAGTACGAGCATGCACGTGATTTTTGGCGTAAAGGAGCTAAGGGGGAGATAATCCGAGTGCACGTAGTTCCAAGGTTCAGTTGTTTCCTCCTGTGGGGTCCATGGACTGTCCTGTAGATCTTGTAAAACTAGAGGCCTACCGGGACACTTTTCGTGAGGAGGGTACAGGAGAAAGAGACTTTTGGACCGGAACGAATGCACATCGGAGGATGACCTTCCCTTGGACTGGCGAGACCGTTTTCTACGAGAAAAGAAGATTTTAAGCTGTGTCAAACTCGCTAGTTTGGTTCGGACGGTCTCGCTGTTCGTGCTCCTGTTCAAACCCACGAGAAGGGTGGGTGGGAAGGCAACGACATTAGGAGAAAAGGCGAGGTCGCCGGTAGATAGAGGAACAGGGTTTTCTCACATCATCTTAGGGAAAGATTAACAATATATATATATATGCATGTGTATGCATGTATGTGTGAAATATATATATATTATAATATATATATATATGTATGCCAAATACGTAAGATTGTTTGTTTTGGAAAGGATGGGTGACCGAAGGGTTGCCTCGAGTAGCTTTGTTGCTTCGAGTAGCTTTTGAGCTCCCAGCTTGCGTGATTTGTTTACTCATCAAGAAGGACCAGAATTGGGTTTCAAGTGAAAATCTACAGGTTTCACCATGGTGAAAACACCCCCAAAACGCATGGGGTGAAACAACCTGTAGATCGAGCCGAAACCGAGCTGAAACCCACGAGCTGAAAAAAACCAGCGGACCCGCCCTCGCTCCCGCCCCGTGACAGGATCCCCGGCAGCTGCCTTCGAAACAAAGAGAGGAACGACCGGCTTCGGAAAAGAGCCTCGCATCGGACCGGGACGGACCGGCGTCGCGGGCATCGTGTCGGAAAGGACGGAGGTGTCCCGGTTTCGGCACGGAAGAAGCCCAAAGCGATCCGAACAGATTGGCTTTTGCCGAACAGCTCAGTCGGCGAAGTGGCGGCCTAGCAGCGCCAGGTGGTTTTGATGGAAAAGCTATCAACGCCAGGCTGTTACTCAGGCTACGAATTGTTTCTGGACACTCCAACTGCTTTCAAGACAAGGGAAGCAAAGAACAGCTGCGGGCTCTAGATGGAAAAAGACCCACAAAACCTCCAAGAAAGGGGACGGCCCGGCGGCAAAAAGAACAGGGGCATTTGATTGAGGAAGGAAAATGGCCGCAAAGCGACTTGGTGTTCAGATTTTCCATGTACTGTGTCTGATGTATTGCTTTACCAGCTCCCGCAATGTCCCAGCGATTTCCTTGAAAATGGTCGGGCCAAAGTCAATGGACCGTTCACAAATCTGAGCCAAGACCTGTTCCCCAGGCGATGACACATCCACTGCTCTCAAAAACAGGCCAGATCCACATCACCTTCACCTTGCACACCACTGCTTGGACCACCTGCAGCCCATCCTGCGCCACCGCCGCCAGCATGAGGAGATCCTCAATGGTCAAGACCTGACAGGATCCGTCGTCGAGACGCGTGTCCTACCCCCCGAAGAAAACCCAAGGTCCTTGTGACATGGATCTGAACACACGCGGAGGCGGCCACGTACGTGCCCGGGCCCGGCTGCCCCCCCGGGCCGCTTAGGGCCCAGGTATTTCACGCCTCGGGATGCCAAACCCAAAGAACCCCAAAAAGTTCTCGAAATACCGGTGATGTGATCCCCCCAATAAGTTCTCGATCCGGTCAACTCCATTCCCCCCGAGAGATTTCGCGCCGTGAAGAAAGACCCCAAACAAATGGCCATTGCGAGAGACTTAAAGACAGAACGGCCCCAAACAAATGGCCATTGCGAGAGACTTAAAGACAGAACGGCGCAGGAGAATGTCGTTCGAAGGCACCTGTCCCTTCCGAGGACATGATCTTCATGAGAAACCATCATGAGATTAAATCATGTATGTAATTTTTATATATTATGAACTTTGGCACCTGTCCCTTCCTACGACCATGGCTAGACCGGTCTTCAAGTGAGGTCTGACCAGGCTCCCACGTCGTCCTGGCGGATGATTCGGCCACGGGCACGAGAGTACTCAAGGCAAGTCGACCAGCACAGGACGCCACCAATCGCCTTTGACACTCAAACTGGAGTCCTGGAGCCAGTAAGAATCTCTGAAGCAAATGGCCAAGCAGGTTTTGCTTGGAATGGTCTTGATCTGGGCATGACCAAGCTTTGTCTGCAAATCTCTAAACGCTCAAAAACAGCGAGCAGTCAAGGCGTCTCAAATTGTGCTGTGCTCGGCTGTCATACCTGAGTGAAAAATGTCTGCAGATTGGTCTACAGGATTCCCGGAAACGAACGTGCTTGGCAACGAAAGATCCTCAATCTTCAAGTGGATCTGGCTTGCAATCACCATCAAAGACTTCTTCGGTCCCTCCGGCCAGTTCGACGCCAGTCGGGCGGATCCTGCTCACCTAGGAGTCGGAATGTCAACGACCCCGCAGGGCGCGAGGCAGTGGGCCCAGTGGGCTTGGCAGGCGAAACCCGAAGCTGGGCGCGATCTGCTCAGAAGATACGATCGCGGTAGGCAAGTCCATCGACGCGATCCGGCGAAGCGGTCAGGTCCAGCGTCCCGCAACCGCGCGGGTCCACCAGTCCACCCGCCGCGCTGGTGGAGTCAAGCACAGACAGCATGTCAACAAGGGCGTGTGGGGCCAAAAACCTCCCAGTTTGCTGCAAAAACCACACTTTCACCTTCGTACCGACGACGGCGACAACAACTACGAGTACGACTACGACTCCGACTGCGACTGCGACTGCTACTGCTACTCCTACTCCTACTGCTACTACTACTACTAGAAGAAGAAGAAGAAGAACAAGAAGAACAAGAAGAACAAGAACAAGAACGACAAGAATGACAACACGACAACGACAACAACGGAGTCACTTTCCTGCTGCATGACCCCCCCGATCCTTTCCACCCATGGCTCGCCGCCTGCACTTGTGCAACGACCTTACTCGGTGCAGCCGTTTGGACGCAACCCTTCTGGGTTGGATGCAAAAGTACGCTGAAGCCGATGAGTTTGAAAATGAAAAAAGTTGAAAAACGGATACCACAAATGAAGTGTCCTCAGTGTCCTCCACAGTCATCAAGAGATCATACATGTCTGGTAGAAACCTTACAATGCTTCTCTGCCGGTTGGCTTTGCACCTGAGTTTGAGGATCCCCTGGCCAAGTGTCCTTTTATGCTTGCCTGAAATGGACGCTTGACTGGCGGGCAGAAAAACTGGGTCCCACGGGGCCCGTGCGCAGGTTGGACTGGCAGCCCGGTCCAACACTTGGACTCTTTGGATCATCCCATCGTCACATCCGAAATCGCTTGAAGGCGTGGCCCCCTTGCTTAGCGCATCGACCAAAAAACGAACAGCCGGTCTAACACCTGCCGTCACACCGGTCGTCACCACAAAAACAAAAACCATTGTCGCTCCATGCTGGGCTTTCCCTGCTTGCCACACCTCCAGAGCCAAGGTGGTGTTTCGCCTTTGCAGCACAACCCAGGGCAAACACAGCATCGGAAGGGGCCACTTGCTTTCGACCTTCGCTTGGATTGATTGAATGCTTAATAAGCCCAAAATGTTACCTTTGTCAAAGAAACCAGAAACTGTAAAGTGAATTTGCAAAATAATCCTTTAACTTTCCATGTTTTGGGCTAAGGATGGCCAAGCGTAGGATTCTTGCGCACTGGACTTTGCAAGGCAGCATCGAAATCAATGCACCAGGGTTGTCATCTGCATGCCGTCCAGTGTATTCTATGAATGAATAGTGCTCAAAAGTGTATCGAAGTAAACAACTGATGAAGCTTTTTTGGCCTGGCCGTCCGAGAAGTAGCTGGGGAGGCCTGTCTGCTCTCCTGGTCGCACAAACGGATGCACATCCTCAACGCAAATAGAGACTGCCTGGATCGTCCAACTATGTCAAATGTCTGCCTTTGGGCTGTTGTTTATGGATGAAAAGGCAGAGACTTGTCACAGTTGGAAGATCTAGGTGCCTGTACTTGGTGGATCTTGGTGGAATTCAAATTGACGTGTGGTCTTGGTCATTGGTTGGGCTGGTCGAGTTGACCAAGTCTTCGTGAAATTGAAGTCGATCGAAAACGAGCCATCCCTGCCAACGAGTCATTGGGGCCGAATCGTGGCTTCACTCCATTGTTCATCCCCAACGAATCGCACCCATGCGAATCGCGGGTCGTTGGCTTGGCCTCCAAGCGCCTTCAGTTCTTCCTCATTCCGAATCGACCGTGTGGACGAACAAATTGGGTCCCAGCAAGACAGCACTTGGGCCATTCGCTTCGCTTTTCATGGTGATATGGTCCATGACGTCTAAAATCACCAAGGCCATTCCGAAATTCAACTAAGCAAAACCTCCCAATGGATTCTATGTATGTTTGGTCTTCCCAGTGGTCCTTGGGGTCTCCCTAGTCTAATACGTACCCAAAATGGGTGTCCTGTTCTTCGTTCTTGGAAGGATCTCGGCAACAGCATTGGAGACTCCCATGGTTGCCTCGTTCGTACCCTGGTTCTCGCGCCGTTCACCAACGAACGATGCTCGTGTTCAGCTGCGGTGCTGCGGTGCTGCTCGCACGTTGGATGGGGCAAGGAGCACCCCCAACCTCCGCAGACGGTCACCCCGAGCCGATTCCCCACCTCCGGCGGCGAGTCCTCCGGAGACATGGAGTCCTCCGAGGACGAACAAGCGCAGCAGTCTGGGAACATGGGTCCAAACGCCGCGCGCCCTGCTGGACGCCCTGCTGGAACATGGCTGAACAGATTCCTCTATGTTCGGCATGTCAACCGAAACCATGGTTTGCTGGGGCAGTATGCGCTTGCGGATACCGTCCTCCTCTCCGCCCCCTTGCCGCCCCTTGGTCTAGGACCGCGTACAGAAGGGGGTCCATGGATTGGTGGGATGAGGTTTGGACCGCTTTGGACCGCCCCCTGAGTGGGGTGTGTCCGACCTCCCCAGCAGCCGGGGACAACCGATGGAGCCTGACTGGGGGTGTGAATGGCCCGAAGGTGGGAGAAGGTGGGAGATGGAGTTGAAAACATATACAGATATATACAGTATCACAAAAATCGCGACCCCGACTGAACACAAGACCCTCCTACGTACAAAAATACGTACAAACGCAACTCTGAACGTAGAAGGTCTGTACGACAGATTGTGACCACGAAATGGGCCAAAAGCAAGTGTCCCACTTTTACTTGGTTCTCAGCACATTGCTTCGGTTAGAGGAAAAACATCGAACACCGGTACGGCTTGGAACACTCGGCCAGCGCCTGGGGCTCGCCAGACCAAGCCTCAAACACAGTAGCTTGCAGGGACGATATAAGAGTCTAAGGGGCTATGCGATGGTGACCAGTGGGGATGACAACCATCGTATAAGGGCTGTTTGGCCATGGCTCAATTGGAGGATGACTTTGCATCATGTGGTCCAAGTTAAAGAGGGCCCAGGGGTGTAGTCAGACATTTGTTGGGGGAATCTGATGGTGGTGGGGTACCACCCAATAGCAGCTTTGGGACCTGGCCGGTCCGCCGGACCGGTCCGCCGGACCGGTCGCCACCAGAAGGCGATCGAAGTGGATCTGTCATACTTTCCACCCTAAGACGTACCAAGAGTAGCTTTTGGGGGTGCACCCTGGAAGCAGGGAAATAGACCAGTCTAGATTGCTTGGGCGTCTTGATTCTATTAAGCCAACACATCCATTCCCACGAACGGACAAACCAACCTCAAGGCACCCGCGAACTGCCCATTCCCCCACCGACCAGCGCCCGCACTGATTCCAGAGCCGCCCTCGGATCATCATCTCCAACCACCTGTGAACCACTCGCTTTCTCCACGGCAAAGCCCGATCAGTGGCCGGTTTCCGGTTTCCGGCGGAGAGGGGGGGCATCTCGAAAAAGGCTGCCACTGGTCCCAGCATTGGTCGGGTGTGAAACACCGGATGTGTCTTGAAGCCCTTCCCAGGTCGCACCGGTCCCGGACCACCCTCCAAAGGTCGCACGTCACGTCCACGTCCCGTTCAACCACCTCCAAAAGGTCGGTGGGGTTTCCAACCCGGCCGGCGGCCTCGAGGTCGTGCGTCGAAGGGGTCGGTGTCTGGTCTAAGAACCCTAAGCCTTACCAGCCTTCCCCCTGAACCGGACAGATTTCCAGGACCAGCACCACTCCCACCAGCACAAAAACCTCGAGTCCAACCTCTTCTCAACGAGTCCAGCCTCTTCTCTGTGGAGAGCGTCGATCTAATCAAACAACGTTTCCAGAGTGCAGCTCGACATGTTTCATGCAAGCGTTTCTGAAGTGCCTTTCGACTGCTTATATACTTGGAAGCCATGCCTAATTAACCGCTTGGGTGCTGCATGCCAAAGTGTAAAGCCAGCAGAAATCTATTTCAAGATCCAAGCACGTAGTCCGAACTGCAACTGCCGCTTGAAGACCGGCACGTGCTGCAGTGATTCTGACATACACAGTATTGTTTCTCGCACTTGGTGCTTGTTTCTCGTTGTTGATGTGTTCCAGAATTAGCAGCATCTTGGTCAAGCCTGCTGTCCTTGTCGGGTTCCTTCCCACACGAAATCGCAAAGAACAAGCCACAATCCTCCGCTGCGCTGAGCTCCAGGGCTGAGCTCGATGTCTGCAGATCTGTCCCAGAGAGAAGGATTCCTGCAAGGGTGTCCATTGACTGCTTGATGCCAGGAGGCCTTGATCTTCACTCCATGAAAACATTGCAATAAAATGACCCTACCTGGTCTTCTGCTTCTTGAACTGCTCATGGCAAAAATTGTGGCGCCACATCCAAGTAGGGCATGCCAGTCACAAGGCTCTTCATGTCACAGCGAAGCTAGGTCCGCGGTCGGACGGCGAGCCACAGCAGCCGACGGAAATTCTGCTAGCTGGAAGCCCCGATCGGGAGAGCATCTCAGGCAACAGGCAGTTCACGGCTCCCAGCCCCAGTACTCACGGCACCGAGCCTCATATGACTCCGACAGGCTCCCGAAGCGGTGAACAAGAGCGAGCAGGGACAGCGACAGCATCCACACGCGGGGAAATGTAGAGGTCAAGTACACTCGATTGTACAAGTACACTCTCCGAGTCTGCCTGGATCTTTGCCAAGACCAACCTTCCGGCAAAGCGTCTCCAGGCTGTTCCGGCAGAGCGTCTCCAAGTTCCAGGTTCTCACCCGTCATCAAGTTGTGGTTCCACGCCTCCGCGTCTTCGCGCTGTCGTCCTCGCAGCACCATGGAAAGCTTGGGTTCTTGGAATCCACGTCTTCTACAAGTAGATGTGCCACGTTTGCTGACGGCCTACGCCTACTGCGGCGGCGCACATCCGCCGCTACCGTGATGCAACTCTTGGGTGCGACGACCCATACGTCTGCTGAGAGTTGCGCTGTTCTGCCCATCTGTTTTGGTCTGAACAAGGCCTCTATCTTGATTCATGAGAATAGTTGGAGCCTCAAAGGCACGAAGCTCAGGATGATTTTAAGATTTCTACGTCTTGTGCGGTTGAGAAGTAGATCACTCGATCAGCCAACGACCGTCCAGTGCTGCAGGGCTTGCTCGGTATCTCCACAGTCACTTGGAATGTTTTCAGAAATTGCACTGTTCATTCATACACGCCAGGGCCAGTATCCAACAAGTCCTGATCATCTACACGGAATCGCCGCTGAAGAACTTCAATAGAGACCCCGATGTTGAAGATATTCAGCAACTACAAATACTCCGATCTCCGATCAGGCACAGAATTCTCTGTCTGACGCCTAACATCCGCACGTCCGTCACATCCGCAGCAGCACCCAAAACGCCGTCGAACAGCTCGAAACCCACCCCGCCCGAAACCTCACCTCCATCTCCGGCAGCACCTCCCCTGGAAGCTTCTCCACTCGCAAACGCCTAAGGGGCGGTCGCCGCGGCGTGGGGCGAGGGACCGAACGTGATGACGTGTCGGGGACCTGGTCTGGTCAGGTGGAACAAAGGGGGGTTCAAGTGAAGATGTCATCATATGTCATCTATCAAATGATGGAACAATATGGAACATTGGAACATGTCTTTCCTGGCCATTTCCTGGTGGTCTAGTCTCAAATCAAGAGACATTTCAGAGATTGGCACAGCTTTGAAAAGGATGATGGCGCACCCATGTTGGGGGTCAGAAAACCACTATATAGATAGAAAAGTCAATCGTTTGCATCGAAATGTATCGTTAAATGTCATAAAGGTCATGTAGAACATATCTGAATCATGCGTATGATCCTGCATATATAAACTGTATTGGACAAAAAGCCAAAACAGACCCATGGACCGAGACCATTGGCACGTCTCGCCGTCACCGTGCATCATCCGAGACCACCGACGGGTAGTAGCCATCCTGCGCGGATCCTAACATAGCAAGGAGCTCGATGTCAGAGCCTTAGTGGCGGAGGCCCCAGCAAGACCCGGCACGTGAGTTCTTCGATCACTCGCCTGGGCCGACAGAAGAAAGACAAAACATTTCTCCAGGTCTGTCGATGAGGAGGATTCATTGGAAAGGATGATTTGTCTGGAATCTGTTGAATTGAAGGTTTATTTCGCGGTCAACGGCGGATTCGGAAACTAGAATCGTGGATTCGGAAACTAGGGTGGCCACGAGTTCGGAAACTAGGCACAGCGCGGATTCGGAAACTAGGATTCGGAAACTAGAACGGCGGATTCGGAAGCTAGGGTGGCCACGAGTTCGGAAACTAGGCACAGCGCGGATTCGGAAACTAGGATTCGGAAACTAGAACGGCGGATTCGGAAACTAGGATTCGGAAAGTAGAACGGGTCTGAGTCGGATAGTTTCTGAATCGGGTCTGTGAAATACCAATATGTCCACGCTACATCAGCACAAACATTTCATTAGATCCCCAACCCCCCCACCCCCCAGTTTCTGAATCGGCCAGTTTCTGAACCGGCTGCTCCAATCTGGCTGAATCCACCTTTTGGCCTGTTCTTTTTCCACTCAGATGGTCGCTTGCCTTTGCTCCACAAGAGTCTCCTGGTTTGGGACCATGGTTTTGGCAGGGCTCTTGGACCGCTTCTTGTCCACCGTTTCCCTCGTCGGCGCATCACGGGAGTGCTAAAAAGCTCTTTCCAGGAGCTCTTTCTTTGCCCCCTCTTGGTGCAGGCGCCGGCTGCTGTCTAGGAGTTCCCATCCACAGGTTACTCGCACCGCTGAACCGCTGAACGGGTCTTCCTGTCTTTTTTCCGATGAAAACGAACAGTGAGCCTCGTTCCTGTTCTTCCCGTCCCACTGGGCTAACCCGGCACAGTTGAGATCCCAGATGGGTGCTGCGAAAGGGTGCCAAGTCCTTTCCGATCAGGTCAAGTGGTCGTTCTGAAGCCGGTCGCCGGGTCACCCGCGAAAGGTGATGTTTCATCCATGTGAAGGTGAATCAGAGGTCTCTAAACTTGTGATGACGGGTTTTTGGACTGGAATCTAGCAAGATGACCCAACCCATGGTTGATGGAAAATAGGTGGAAGGCGTGTCTTGGCCGTACCAAGCATTGCTGACCTTTCCAACTTAATGGTCAAATCAGTGCTGGTGAAAAAAAAGACTGGTTTTAGACCAACAAACTAGTGACGAACCTACTCAAAGCATCAATATCAAGATAGATAGATAGATAGATAGATAGACAGACAGACAGACAGACAGATAGACATACAAATAGACAGATAGACAAATAAACAAATATATGTATGAACAAAAAAAAACATATATATATATATACGTATATACAATAACAATATTAATAATTTAAGAATAATAGTAATAGTAATAACAATAATAAAATAGATTTATATATATATATGTGTGTGTGTGCTGCTATATATAGGGGAATCATCTGGAATCCCATGCAATGTGGAATGCCTTCCTTGCAAAAGTGGTCGGATCTTGGCGGAGCCCAGGAATCGAATGGGTCCCACGGAGGTCGTCGGCGATCGCTGCGCCGTCGGAGCGCCGTCGGTGCTTGGAAACCCGCGTTGCGCTCTCACACGTGGCTGTGTGAAGTGATGCTATCCTCAACAACTAAAGAATTCAAGGCCAAGTTCCAGGAAGTCTGAATGAAACAGGCATTTGAAACAAAGAAAAGAAAACAAACATGGCTTTGACCACCACGGCGTCTCTCCCTCTCGTCCCTACCCTTGGACCCGGGCCCCCCTCGGACCGCTCCTCGTCGGAGACGTGCAGCGCCTTGAAGGACTCTCGCCTGGGGGGGGGCCCGATGGAGCGCCAGACTGGCTGTGCTCATCATGCGAGGGTCATGGCGTCTCTCGTGCATGGTGTGTGTTGTTCAGTGCACTGAAATAGGTCGGTCTTGGGCGAAACAGAGATGTTCGCAGCACGAAGCAAAGACCGCCGAGCTCCCTCAAGTCGGGCGCTGGCGACACTCAAAATGGGCTCCATGAGTACATGACGTCATTGATTGAACCCCAGCTGATGTGCGAATGGGTCTTCATCGAATCGGTATGTCTACTATGGAGAGCTCTCCATAGTAAGGAGGCGCACTTGTTGGATGCGCACTTGTTGGTGTCGTAAAAACCAAGTCTTCCAGCTCCTTGGGCCAGATGTCAGCGCGTTTTGTTTCGTTTCAGCTCGTCAACTGGACAAAACCAGACATTCACCACCCCACTTCACGGCAAGTCCGCTTCGATTCCTTTGGGTCACAAGGTGCCCAGCCCGCTACTCGGCGCTGTCGAGCTGCTACTCACCGCTGTCGGGCTGTGCGGAAAAAAGAAAATCCGGACGACCTTGGTTCAAAGGTCTGTGCCATCTCCTGAAACTCAGATCGGCCGCCGGCCTCCGCCACCGGACCACCATGTCCGAGCATCCCGACTCCTCTTTGGAGCGTGAATGCGAAATGGCTTTGCTCACCTGCATACAGCAACCGACTGAGTCCGTCTTTCCCAAACACGGCTGGAGATGAGTGAAAATCAGTCGAAATATTCCATAGACAGCCTGGAGAGCTCCTTAAAGTGAATGCCCTCGATTCCAAGAAAACCTGGTTTTGCAAGGTACACTTTCAATGAGCTTCTTTTCAGGCCAAAAGAACACCGATATGCTTCTTCCCCCATCCCCTGGCGTAGGGGGCAGCTTTGGATCTGAATTCCAGAAAGGCTTCGTCAATGGCCACACCCAGCTCCACGGGTCATCAACGCGCATGCCCACGCGGGAAAAAACGTGCGCACCTTGAGAAAGCTGGAGTGCCCACGAAACTGCCGCGGCTCCTAAAGCTTTGGATCGAAATGCATTGATTTAAAAAATAGATTCAAAAAACAAACAAACATGGATTTCATGGAGCAAAGTGACTATAGCTGCTTGGCACCCCTCCACGACTTTTTGGCTGAAAGGTTTGACCCAGCGGGTGGAGAACGGTTCCCACCCGGCCAACTGAGAGAATCGGACCCCTTTGGATTGGACTTGTCGCTGAGAACTTCGGGGTGAAAGTGAGGAGTTGTGCATCACCAACACCATGACAGCTAGGGAATGAACGAGAAATGGGCAACATCAACAGGGAACCTTCCTTACAAAGCAGTTTCTTCAGACCTGCCAAAGCCTGCCGGCTGCTGGCTCATGACCCAAAACCTATCCAGGCAAACAGTTTGGAAATGTCCCCTTTAAGAATGAGTGTTTGGCATCGATCCTCTCTACATTTACTTCTTGGGATTGTAGGTGTCTTGTCTAAATGAACCACGTGGAGGTGATCGCCCTCCTCACTCCCGATGTCCTCGCCCGGCCTCAACCATGCCTGCAAGAGGCTTCTTTTGGGAGCATCAAAATGGAGTTGCACCCTCTACCAATTCCCTTTTTCTCTACAAACCTATGGTGTACTTATGAAAAGAAATCATGAAATGGCCCAAGTGACAAATGAAGTTGGTCTATGTTCCTATACAACCAGGTGTTTCGGGCCACAAGCTGTTTGCTTTCTGGCATATTGCTGCCCACAAATCCACGGTCTTGACGCCGCAGTGTGGTGCTCGTCAGCACACCACCCATCTCTTCAGATCTCTACTCACCTTCACATCTCTCCCCGCAGCAGCCAACGCAAAAAAGAAACGCCTGCAGCCAGCCCCAGCCGCCCTCCAGCCGCCCCCCTAGCGCCAGCCACCTGCCCCGTGTCATCCAGGACGGGAAAGCCGTGGCGAAGGAAGGTCCTGCAGCGTGGCATCGCGGCGTGGACTCGCGAGTCGGTGGGCAGGCTTTAGGAGCTTCTTCCACCCCAGTAGCGATGGCCTCCAACCTACTAGCTTCTTGCTACCTAGTAGCTCATTCTGAAATTGGATGAAGCGAAAGAGGGATGGTTTCATGGTGCGAAAGTGATTTGCCCGTACGACTTGCAGAGCATCCACTCAATGCGAAAGGGATTCGACCCTGAATCGACCCCCCAATCTCCAGTCACCCCAACAAAGTGACCAGTCTGTTGCCGTTGGCTCTGCGAAAAGCACCTGATTCATTTCATGTGTACAGATCGACTCAGCCTCTGTGGGCTGTGCCACAGAAAAGCCTCTACCAAACGGACCGATTTCACGGGGCGCGTGTTTGTGAGAGACCCGAAGCGACCCGAGAGCCGCAGGTGCTTCGTCGTTCCAAAAGAGCCACAGGTGCTTCACCGTCACTAGTCGCTATGAGTTGGAACTTTTGGCTCTCATAAGGCACCAGTAGCTTGTTTCTACTAGCTTCTTGTTACTACTATATAGTAAGGCACTTGTTACTAGTAGCGATGCACTTGTTCCTAGTATCTCATGGTCCACACCCCAAATGCCGAACGCCTCCCAAAACGCGCTCGCGCACAAACGCGAGCGCGGCGACGCGACGCGGAACGACGCGACGCGCGTGCATGTGAGCCACTGTCAAAACCTTCCGGCTATGAGGAAAAACGTCTTTCAAGATCTTTCAAGAGCTTTTGTGGCCCAGGAATCAATCTTCAACTACCAGCTGCCTAGTTATCAGTCTGGGACAATAAGAGACGTAAGAGAGAGGTTTTGCCAGTGGATCGCATCAGTGCTCATACATCTCCTGGAAAGTAAATGGTGCATGGCCTGAAGAATGTGCGAAATGTGCTGACTCCCATTCGCAGAGACTTTTTCAGTGGTTGATGTCCAGTCCCATGAGGCCTTCTTGTGAATCTCAACCTCAAATTCTAGTTGTCCAACATGGTGATGTCCACTCCCGGTGCTTTTTGGTTCCAAGAAACAAAGGGTCCCAGGTGCACGAACTGCGTCCAGGGTGTTGAGGGGCTGCTCGGAGGTCCCAGGACCGTGGAGGGTGTGTCAACAAGTGCAGCGAGGTTGTGTGTGGGTCCAGCGACTCAGCGGTTTTCCATAGGTTGAAGCAACCTTCTCCCCAAAAGATACCTCTCCTTCTAAGATCCTCTCTGACACCTCATCACCTCATCCGGACTCTCAGGCGAATGCATTCGGACAGGTCACCAGATTGAGGTGCACCCCTCAAAAGAGATCGCCAGAGCACCAAACCAAAACATCTCATAACCCGACATGTTCCGCTGGAACCTCACTCCCAAAACCTCCAGGTGTCTGACGAACCGCCCTCGCCCCCGCCCCCGCTTCGCGCCTCGAGGACGTGCTTCGAACACTCGACCCCCTCCCGCTGCGCCTCGAGGAGCTCCGGAGGTTCGGTGCGCACGCGCGCGAAGACAACGCGCCCGCCGAAGCAGCCTCAGCAGGGCAGAGAGCGGGGCGAGACGCAGGGCGAGACGCAGGGCGAGACGCAGGGCGAGACGCAGGGCGAGACGCGGGCTCCGCGTTTGGGGCGTTTGCTTTTTTGGGGTGTCTGGAGAGCTCAAGGATGCTCAAGAGGGTTGGGTTTGGAGGGGATTTGAGGCGAAAAGAAACAGGACCTTATACTGCTCAAAATCCAGAAAAGGGTGGTCTGGTCTCTAAGTGTTTCTGGGTTTTGGTATGTAGAGTTATGCCGCCAGGGCAACTTGCTTCTCCTTTTTCGCTCTGGCCAAAGCCTGTGAAGTCTCCCAGGTCTCCTGTCAAAGGTCCCCAAGTCCCTCGAATTCTGGTCCGAAGGGTGAAACGAAAAGCGCCAGGAATCAACGCGCCCACCAAACTTCCACGAAGACTTCCTCACACATCGACCACCTACGGGGACCGCTCTTTCCGCCAACACCCAACCGGCTCGAACTCTTCGGCCGAAGGAACCAACGCCCTCGACTTTCAGTTGAAGCGCTTCTCCACCTGCCGAGTGTTCGAGAGCGCTGGCGACTGAAGAGACGATCGCTGTGAAGAAATGGAAAAAAAAGTCCTTGGAACGTTGGAGCAGGAGATGGGTATGGGCCATGGCAGTGGGTCAAGGATTTTTTGAGTGGTTGGAGAAAATCCCGTGCAAGACTGGCCGAAGTTCTGTGGTTTTTTTTCGAGGGTTTTATTCAATGAATAGACCCAACTCCTTGGCTCTCACGCCCCTTGCTTTGCTTTTTGTGGCAGACACTGACACATCCTTCACATCCTTCACCTTCTCACCTACTCAGCCAACAGCCCACGTCGCGCCTAGGAACTCGCGAATGCTCTTGGCCGCCTCGGCGCCGGTCCGACGGAGCGCCGGTCCGCGACGGAGCGGGAGCGGGAGCGGGAGCGGCCTCGGCGTAGGCCTGTCGGGCTTCATGGAGTCGGCTGTCCTGGGAGCGGCTGGAGCTTTTTGAGAGAGGATCTGAGGATGAAATCCATCCTTGATTGAAACAATAAAAAAAGAAAGATCTAAGAAGCCAGTGGATCAAGTCTTTTTGGTCTTTCCAAAATATATGTGTGTGCGTCCACCCCTGGACAAAGGGTTTCTTCCAACCGTTCCACCTACCACTTGTTCAAGCAGGAAGGGCAGAGAGGACTTGCAAAGCTCTGCCCAACGAAGCTCTTTGCAAGATCCTAGGAAGCGGAAGCTGATCACTTCCGTGTACCTGCTGAACGGTTTACACGCTGTGACTCCACTTTTCCACGGTTTGTTTCCATGGTTCTTGCACGATAGACCCCTAAACCTTTCCCACCACAGGCTGGCAGCCGCTTGTGCAGTGCAACCGACAGAGCGAGTGAAACAATGTTTAACATTTCAAGTCACCGGACCTTTTCGCCTTGCTGTTCCATCACCTTCCTTCCCAACGTGGCAACTGAGTCACTGAAAACCAATGTCAGAGTGTGTGAAATCCATCAACATGATTCACCGCGTGGGACGCATATACTGCGTTGTGTTCGACACCCTCCAGGTTCACCCATCTCAGTCTGGATTTGGGTACTGCTTGTGGAGTTCTTCGGGTGAAACACCGGCCTATTATTTGTGTGCCAGAGAATCATGGACCCCAGGGTGCAACCACCGTGGGTCCAGGGTGCAGACCACTCCATCATCCCGCCGCGCCTCAAACCACCCACCCCTCAAAATGGGCCTCAAATGAGGTGAGCAGCAGCGCGGTGTGCATCCGACGGATGGGCACCTCGAGGCTCCAAACGAGGCGAAATCCGAGGGGATCCGCGGCGGCCAAAGGCCTTAAACATCCACCGGCGTTCACCAGTTCCTAACAAGAAGCTACTAGGTGGAGGCCATCGCTATTAGGTTGGAGGCCATTGCATGCCACTCCTACTACTACTACTACTACTACTACTACTACTACTACTACTACTACTACTACTACTACTACTACTACTACTACTACTACTACTACTA